AAAAACAATAATATAATAAGTGGCAAGAGTAACTAAAACTGAAAATCAATCAATGGCAGTTAATAACCAAAGTTGATTACTTCAGGAATATGGGAAGGAGGAATGCCAAGAGAATGAAATAAATAAATAAATAGATATGTAGATATGCTACAAATTTTGGTTTTCTTTAAAGTTCAACCTATAACTAAATTTTGTTAGAGAGAGGGAGAGAGAGAAGCATTGTTCTATCTACATGGCATTTAGGACTGGCTAACTATATTTTGGTTTTCTTCAAAGTTCAACCTCTAACATTGGCACAAAGGTGAATTAAGAGAATGAAAACAAACCTGAAGCCAGGGAGATGGAATACCATAGTAAGTGTATTCTTGTGGGACATCTTGGTTCCTGGCAAGGCGCTCCAATATTTTAACACACTTTGGAAGACAGGTCCAATATGCTTCATGATTGTTTGATACCAACGCCACAAAAAGGCTCATTGATGATGTCAAAACACCAAGATCACGTTCATCTAAAAGCTGCGCCATTCGATCCGCCCTAGAACATAGGGCAAAAAAATCATTTCAAAATAAACACAACTATTATCAGACAGTGAGTTATGATAAAATTTAAGCATTCGGGCATACCAGCCATCTACATTCACAACATCAGGATTTTTCCTATACAATCGAAGCAAACATAGGGCAGCTTTTTTCCGTACAAGTGGTCTGCAGCTACTAGAAAGCTGAAATGACAGAATTTGTTAGCTTGAACCATATTCTAAAAGAGCCACTTGAATTATCAGTATCTGGTCCATCTTACAAGTAACTTTTGAACATCAGGTGCCAATGACTCAGCAAATTCTCTACCACCAATATTTCCAACCTACAAAAATGTACAAAAGAAAGAAAATGTGTAAGCATGAAAGAGGCCAACCATTTTTTAAGTGTGCAAAAAATACATGACACAGAACCATATAAAAAGACAATGAATAACCATATGGACCATAAGATATGTAGATATTCAAGGACTTTATTAAGGCCATACCATAGTCAAAGCTAGGCACTGGAAGGTTTCATTGCGACCAATTATATCATTGCGGACGGTATTGATTGCCAGTCTCAGAAAATCATGGTTTTCATTGAGCAAACACGATGTCACAATGTATCCAACCTGCAGATATCAATCCAAATTGGAAGGTAAATAAACAGTAGATAAACATTTCAAAAAGCATAAAGAAAAATATAAATACCTGCTTTTCTGGGTACTTGGGTGCAGATATCAAAGAAACAGCTTCCATGTGACCAAAATCAACATCATAACCCAGCATGTGTACATAAAGCATTTTCCAAACATATTTCTTCTTTTCATATGGTGTCAATCCCTGCCACACAAACCCAAAAATTCAAAAAAAAACTTCTATAATGGTTTGAAGGGATAAGAGTAGTGCTTGGACAAGTTTTAAGGTTCAAAAATACTCAAAAATAAAGTAAACATATATATAACCCTACATGCTTATTTTGACACAGGAATGCAAATAAAAGAAGGATTCCAAACAAGCAAGTAAAATTGTCAACAAAATGAAACTTGAGGCCACAATGACATTCACAAACCATTAACTGAACTGACATATAAATAAGCTAAAGAGAAAATGTAACCTCATGTCCACAATAACCTAGTAATGGGAGGAGATCTCATCTATAAATTGTCACTTCATGGCTTTCAAAACTTACCAGAAACTTGACATTAAAACCCCCCAGATCAGGAAACTCTCAATAGAACTTGACTAATTTTTCACTGTAACTGGTGGAGCAGGCAAAGTTTGTAAGGATTCTTCAGGTTGACCAGATACCAGGCACAACAGTTTTAAGGGACAATACCACTACTATAAAAAATGCCTCGAATGGCTCAATTGTTTGATATCGAAGCTTAAGTCTCCTTTTCCATGATAGCCACAAATGAAAATACTCCTGGCCTGGACCATTTAACTCAACCATTCTAACAATGCATTATCCTAGCTAGAAGGTTTAAATTCCTTCATAATTTCTCTATGAGTATTAAATGGAACTAAAGAATCAAATACAGTTGTGAGTACCCAAACCAATGCAATTTCAATCACAATTACCACTTCTTCCCTAAACGCTTCCTCTGCAGATAGTAAAATAAAATTGAAAAGGAAACCCTACAGCATTGCCTACTATCTAACAGCTAAAACAGAAATAGAAATCCAGAAAAACAACAAAGTAAGCTTCATGTAGTTGCATCGTAGAACTAGAACAAAAAATGGAAAAATGAAATCAATAAGTCCAAGACCACAGGAGGTCAAGTTCGCCAAAAAGAATTCCCAAATGCTATCAAGGAATCCAGGACAACAGGAAACACATAATTCCATCCTCTCACAAAACAGAAAAAAGGAAGGCGCTAGCAATCAAAACCAAAAGCCTAATCCAAAGCAGCAAATACAGTGAGTCCTACCTCTACCAACCTAGAATTGTGCACAGAGCAATAGAATAGAACAGAGAGAGGGGGAAAAAAACCCTAACCTTCTCGTTCTTGAAGCGAGTACGGATGTTTCCGAGCTCTTTATCGACGCGAAGGCGCTCCTGCTCTTTGTTCGAGCAATTGCGAATGTCGCTGATGAAAACGGAGAGACCTCGCATCCCATGCATTGCCATTCAACTATAGGATCAGATCCAGCTCTCTTCACCTTCGGATCTGCTGAGAAACATCCAGATCTTCGAAGGAAAGCTGATATTGGTACAGTTTCAAAACAACCTAAGCAGGTACCTGTAGAAATGGAAATCGAATGAGAGTTGTGATCTCCAAACACACGCAGAGTTATTTCCTATGTTACAAGAGCAGGTGGACTGGAAGAACAGAGAGCGCAGGGAGACGACTTTTATTTTGCCAATTTTTATTTACGTTTTGTTTTTTTTAATGTACGTTGTGACGTAATGCAATGCATGGTCGAGTTTGATATTGTATTTTAATTTTTATTTTCTAGATTGTGGTGT